CTGCAATGGCCTTGAAACTTGGGAGTGCATACAATTCAGCATAAATTGTCTTCTGCTACCAACACATTCTGAATCATCACTTTTCTGTCATGTTACCCGAGGATATTTTTTCCATTGACTTTTTTTTTTTTTTTAGAAAGAGACTGGAAGGGAGGAAGAAAAGGGGAGAGAGAGAAACATTGATGTGAGTGAGACATATCAATTGGTTGCCTCCAGCATGCACCCCAACCAGTGCTGGGGATCAAACCTACAATACAGGCATGTGCCCTTGATGGGGAATCAAACCCACAACCCTTCAGTGCACTGGACAATGCTCTAACCATTAACCAACACAGGCCAGGGCTCACATGCTATTTTTTATTGAGCTAGCCATAAATGCCACAATAGATTTGAAAAAAAAAAAAAAATGAGCTAGAGACCAGAACCTAAATACAGTTAGAAACATCCCCTTCCACCACCACTTCCACTGAGCTGTCGCTAAAGCTGGTAGGAAACTAGACAGACAACCTCTTTCACCCCTAGGTTACAACCTGAAATGTCTTTCCTGGAGCTCCCTGGGAAGACTCCAGAGACAGCTGTATTCTCTCAGAGAAAACCATTCTGCTATGTTAGCACGAGGGAAGCCGAAAGCCTGTGTTCCTAGACTGACCATGAAGATCGGATGAGGGTAACAGCTGCCTTCCTTGAATTCTCTTCCTGGCCATGAATTCAGTCCTCTTGGAGGCAAGACTCAGCACCATGCAGCCCCGGGAAGGGACACAACTGATTGAGTCCACGGTATAATACCTGGTACCTCTCCTGCCTCAGGAAGAAAACAGAGAATAAAGATGCCGAACCCTGAAATGCTCAAATATGTTATTTAGAATTCAAGGACTTAAATTATTCATTGACTGGGGCATTTCTTTTTATGAAGGAGAAAAAATACCCTAATCTTTCTGTCACAAAATGAAATATCAGTCTTAATGTTCGAATTCACCCTCAGAACACAGCATAAACTCATATTAGAACTAATTTTGTAAAAAGTGGAAATGTATGCAAAACAAGAGAAACAAAAGGAAAAACACAGCAATGACTGAGTACAAGGAAATAGCTCACAGCAAATGACATTTGGAATGAAAGATAGAAAACCCACATTATTTTGTTCTATGCTTAAGTAGAGGAAACAGAAATGCACCAGAGACATTTGCTAATCAATACACATTACCCCAAGGGCACCCAATACAACTGTAATCTTAAAAACAAAACTCAAAGAAATGGAACATTTAAATTAGAAGTACTTTTAACAACAAAATGGCAAAAGCAGGGGAAAGCCTTCCTGTCCCTTTAGATCAGGGAATTCTTAACCTATGGGTGGTTTTTCACAGCCAGTTTTTGCTCAGCAACATAGAAGAAAAAAACAAATATCTTAGATCTTTCCTGTCCCTGTAGCCTTCGTAATGACCAGAATTCAGCATGACACCGTGACTTGTAAGGGATTCTCCCCAGCATCCATTTAAGCGGACACTCACTGGAGAGTTCTGTGAACAGAAAAAGGTTGTGAAAAATATATATTTCCGTATGCGGTACCCAGTCCTGACCTGACGTGACAAGGAGGGAAAAGAATGGCTCAACAGTCTCTGCTCTCCCAGGTACTTGAGCCGGCTATGGGAGTTAGCTCTGGGAAATACCCGAGGCTGTGCCAGGATGACAGTCAAACCCAGAAACCCGGAGAGAATCGATCTGCTCTGCACACAGGGCTCTGTGAGGGAGTGTCTGGGTGCCCCGCACTGATGCCAGGGACTGCAGGCGGGGAGTGAAAGTGAAAGTCCCTGGTTCTCGGGCAGGCTAAAGAGCAATCCCAGATGGTAGCTTTAAAAAAGTGGGTTCCAAAGGGAAAAGCTACCCAGCACGGTGCCAAGGGTATTGGGTCAATGATGGCAGCCCCTTGGAGCTGGAGTTTCATCCTTATATGTGTCCACTGGTGGGAAGCTTTTGCCAGCCAGTGGGTTTTGGCGTCTTGGTTGGGGGATTTGGGCAGGGGGTTGGGTCTACAGGGATGCGGATGTGCAATTGGGTGCTCCTTTGGTTCTTGGTGTCCGATGGCCTTTTCTGTCTGACCAATTCTCCTGTAGGGGAAGTTTGGTCTTTGTTCTCCAGTGGCAGGGAAGTGTGCAGATTGGCCATTAGGAATTACATTGCCCTGTAAGTCCTAACAGCAAGGAGGCAAAAGTAAGGGACATTGAAAGCACAGCTCTGAAGTCAGATGATCAGGATTTCAACCTAGCTCCACCATGTCCTAGGTGGGTCACCTTGGGCAGAAAGTTTCACCTTCCAGGTTTCTCCTCTGTAAAATGGGGAGAGTAATAACAATATCATGAGCTTCTGTGAGAAGCAATTTAGATGATGTAAATATAATGCAGCACCTGCCACATAGTAAGTGTTGCCTTAAAAATAGCTAGAACTCGGTGAGGGCTTGCCACATATTTAAAAAAGTCTGTCTCTCAAAATAACCCTATGACCTAGATGTTATGGTTGTCCCCATGTTACTGGGGTAAAGAGTAAGTAATAGGCCTAAGGTCTCACAGCTATTTAGTGCCAAACTAGCACGTAAACATAGACATGCTGGTCTCAGTCTATACATACTGTTTCTTACTTAATTTTATTGAATGAATAAATAAATGGTAGTTGTTGTTTTTTAATTCTTGGAGATTGGATCATCTAGTTGGGAAATGATAGGAAGAAACATTGTAACTGTGGCAGGCAGTTAGACAGACATGAGCTGAGCAAGGACGATGGGCCAGGTACGGAAGGCCATCAGGGCAGAAGCCCCGAGGGGGGTGCCTAGCAATGGTCAAAACTAGGAAAACAAGGACCTCACCCCCAGGGTGACATTTCCTCCTTAGCACATCCTGGTTATCTGGTTTAGACCCCTTGACCATTCATACCTCTTGTCGTGCAATTCGGACCCTCCCTTGACCTTTCTTCCCCAGGCATGTCACTAGCCATGTGGCAGACTCCTTAGAGGAGGAACAAGGAGCAAGAATATAACCCTATAGGACCCCCATACAAGCCCTTCCATGACCATTTCCTTAAACATTAACCCCTAGAGATAACACCTAGGCCTCAGCTGTATTTCAGCTCCAGGTCCAGAAAAGCTGACAAGGGGACCAGTTTTGCAATGACTAATGACCCCTGCCTTGGCACAGACCAGTCAGTGGAGACCATGACCTGAAAGGACACACCTGGGAAGCAGATGAATATTCTACAGAGATCCTTCCCTGGGACGAACCCTAAAATCTCTACCCTTAAAAACCCTTATGAGGGAGGACCCAGCTTGCTCTCCCCTTCCTTTTGTCTTCCCCTCCAACTCTCCATCCTCTTTCCCCCAAGTGGTTACCTTTATCCTTCTCTCTCCTCAGCTCCAAAAGCCCCTTCTTTGCTTCTGTAACTTGTTTCCCAAGGCCATTTCTTCTACAGCTCACTTGCACCTCTGTGACTTTGTAAATAAACTTTCTCTTATCGTTAGCATCTTGGCTCTGAATTCTTTTAGCCAGAACTCAAGTAGGGAGGTTACTGAACTGAAGTGTCATCTGACTCCACGTCTCTAACACGTGGTGCTGTTTTCATTCTCACCAGCAACATAACCATAAAATAAGATAGTACATAATCGATGGCTACCTTTAAACCCCCAGAGCACCGAGACAGAATGGAATGTAAAAAGCATTGTGAGCATTTCCTTGGCTCCAGGACAGGAAAACTTGACTATTTATCAAAGATCCCAGGCAACCTGGGGCTCAGAGCAGCTGTCTTTCTCCCTAATTTTGGTCATCTAGGTACTCTGCTAACTTTTCCATTTCCTGGCTGGAGCGGGAGAACTCAGTTTTATTTTACACTCTGGATCCCAAGATTCCCACTAGGACAAGGTACTATGTCTAGATCTGCTCTCAACTTCTAAATGGATCCTTGGGAGTTGCAGTCTCATGATCCTGGGAGACACTGAAAGTCTATGCCTCAGGAAGTTAAATTGCTGGTACTTTAGGGTTGAAAGGTAAAGAAGTCAAAGCATCATATTTTCTTAATCTTTTTAATTAACAGTACTTCATCCATGCCATCTAGAAGAGGGCCCTGCACACAGGAAGCATTCAGTAAAAAGTGGTGAAAGAGTAAGTGGATGAATGATTGGGTGGATAAGGCAGAAAATCTGGGACCCTGAGGCTCTCTCCAAAGAGATGCTGTGTCAGCTCTGAACCTGTGAGGTATGAGAAAGCTCACTGGGGCTCTGTGCAGACTGACCCACTTTAGAGTCCCAGAGGCAGCCCTCTTGTTCCTTTGACAGGAAGACAGTGAGCAGCATGTTCTCCATCCATTAGGAGGTCCCAGGTAGACATCTGTGGACTAGGCCAGAGGTCTTCACTAACAGATCTTTCTTTTTATGGAACCAAAATAAAATCAGGAATTTATCTGAGGTCTGTTTGAGGTGCTAAAATGACAATACAATGAGGTATTGTGGTCTCCAAGCAATTCAACATGTAGGCAAAAAAAAAAAAGGCTTTGTAATAAATCTGACCTAGAAAGCAACCTCACAGGGTGATCTGATCATACACTGCTAACTGGTGGGTCTTAGTGGGTAGTCATGCCCCAGGCCTATAAAAAGATTTATATTTGACTTAAGCAAGCCCTGTCCATTGTTCTTGTATGTCTAGGTTAACACACCTTTGAAATGCCCACGTAATCCTCTTTTGAGGCTCCCTTGAGGCACAACCACTCTCAAAGGAGCACATGATCTTCTTAATGATCCTGTACCTTGCCTTCTCCCACCTTCATGAAATCTTCCTTGTCTTTCTTCCTTAATTCCAAATGTCTAAGAGAAATGTAAAAACTGTCATTCTTCAGAGTATTTTCTCAGTCTGTTGAGAGCTTGCTTATGGGTGTGTCCTTTTTTGATTCCGATAAACTCTTATAAATTTTTTCCACAGCTTTGTAAGTCCTTACATTGACAAACAAATTAAAATTCAACTCTGGTGCTCGCTTTGGCAGCACATATACTAAAATTGGAATGCTACAGAGAAGATTAGCATAGCCCTTGAGCAAGGATGATACCCCAATTTGTGAAGCGTTCCATATTTTTAGACTCTATCAAAAATTGATTAGACTTAATAAGTGAATTTGGCAAAATAGCAGGATACAAAATTAACGTCAAGAAATTGATGGCATTCTTATACACCAATGTTGAACTCACAGAAAGAGAAACTAAGAAAAGTTTACCATTTACCATTGCGGCAAAAAAATTAAGATACCTAGAAATAAACTTAACTAAAGAAGTAAATGACCCATTCACAGAAAACTACAGGTCATTGAAAAAAGAAATAGAGGAAGATATAAAAAAGTGGAAGCACATACCTTGTTCATGGATTGGAAGAATTAACATCATTAAAATGTTCATACTACCCAAAGCAATTTATAGATTCAATGCAATCTCCATCAAAATACCAACGACATACTTCACAGAACTAGAACAAATACTTCAAAAGTCTATACAAAACCCAAAATGACCTCTAATAGCCACAACAATCTTGAAAAAGAAGAACAAAGTAGGAGGGATCACATTACCAGATTTCAGCTTATACTACAAAGCCACTATAATCAAAACAGTCTGGTACTGGCACAAGAACAGGCATATAGACCAGTGGAACAGAACAGAGAACCCAGAAATGGACCCAAGGAAATATGCTCAATTAATATTTGACAAAAGTGGCAAGAGCATACAGTGAAGTAATGACAGCCTCTTTAATAAATGGTGTTGGGGAAATTGGACAGCTGCATGCAAAAAAATGAAACTAGACCATCAACTTACACCAAACACAAGAATAAACTCAAAATGGATAAAAAACTTAAATGTGACTCATGAATCCATAAAAATCCTAGAAGAAAACGTAGGCAACAAAATTTCAGACATCATACGCAGCAGAATTTTCACTGATACATCACCTAAGGCAACAGAAATAAAGGAGAAAATGAACACATGGGACTACATCAAACTCAAAAGCTTCTGAACAGCAAAAGATATAATCATCAAAATGGAAAGGCAACCCACTATATGGGAGAGCATAATTGCCAATGATATATCAGATAAGGGGTTAATTTCCAATATATATAGAGTGCTCATACAAATCAACAAAAGGAAGACAAAGAACCCAATTAAAAAATGAGCAGAGGAACTAAGTAGACACCTCTCCAAACAGGACATACAAATGGCTTAGAGACATATGAAGAAATGCTCAACATTACTAATCATCAGAGAGATGAAAATTAAAACAACAATGAGGTATCACCTCACACCTGTCAGAATGGCTGCCATCAACAAATCATCAAACAAGTGTTGGTGAGGGTGTGGAGAAAAGGGAACTCTAGTACACTGCTGGTGGGAATACAGACTGGTGCAGCCATATGGAAAACAATATGGTGTTACCTCAATAAATTAAAATTTAAACTTTCATTTGACATAGTGCTCCCACTTCTAGGAATATACCCTAAGAAGCCTGAAACACCAATCAGAAAGAATATATACCCCCATATTTGTAGCAGCACTATTTACAATAGCTAAGATCTGGAAACAGCCCAAATGTCCATTAGTAGACAAATGGATAACAAAGCAGTGGTACATATACACAATGGAGTACTATGCAGCTGTAAGAAAGAAAGGTCTCTTATCCTTGGAGACGACATGGAGGGACCTGGAAAGTATTATCCTAAGTGAAACAAGCCAAACAGAGAAAGACAAATATCACATGATCTCACTTATTTGTGTAATGTAATGAACATAACAGTCTGAGGAATGAGGTAGTCCCAGAGACGTGGAAGTGGGGTACAGACTGACAATCCCCAGAAGAGGGGGTGGTGGGGAGAGATAAACCACAGAACTTATATGCATGTATGCATGAACAATGGACATGAACAACATAGCTGGGAACAGGGTGGAGAGGGCTGGGGAAGGGGGAAAAAAAGAAACATCTGTAACAAAAATTAATTAATTAATTAAAAAGAAAAAATAAATAAATAAATAAAATTCAACTCTGCCCCTTCTTGAGCATGTACCATAATACAAACTATGGAGTTAGGGATTGTCAGAACACTGAGCAGACATTTTCTCCCTGCAGAGGTGGAGCCTTTGAATTTAAGACACTTAGGAAGAACTCACATGCTAGGCAGTGAAGGAAAATGTATTGTAGGTTTCCTAGGCAGAAAAGAAGAAAAAAGTAAAGTAATAACCCCCAAATATTTTATTTCCAAATTTATTTTTTTGTCATTAATATTTTCAAGACAAAATTATTTTCATTCAATTGAGATATTGTGTATTGTTGGATTTGTTAGATATTGTATGCCACTCTTTTTGAGGAGGGAAAGGAATAACTCAAAACATGACAATAGGTTACTGGCCCTTTTAAAGGTGTTGCTCTAATAAACGAAAGAACTTATATGCATATATGCATAACCAATGGATACAGACAACAATACTATGAAGGTAGGGGTGGGGGCAAGAGCTGGGAGGAGGGTATCAATGGGGGAAAGAGGAGAAACATCTGTAACAAAAATGAATTAATTAATTAATTTTAAAAAATAAATAAAATCACATTCTAAATTTAAAAAGACGAAACTAAGACTTTTAATTTAATTCGCAAATAAAAGAATGAAATATTGAAAAAAGAGAAAGAGGTTGCTCTAAAAGAGAACATAATTATTTGAAGTTTGAGTGTTAAAAACCTAGATTTTCCATGAGTATTTGTTGAAATTGGCTGTATGAAACAATTTGCAAGGCCATAGGATTTGAAATTATGAGAGATGTAATCTCATCATAGACAATCTGTCCTCAAGGTGTTTGCTTACCAAAGTAGGGAGAATCAAAATTAACATTTCCTGGATACATATGTTGTTACTGACTGAAAGGGTTCATTTGCCTGCGTGCATCAAAGCCCAATAAGACACGAATAGGGGTTTGCAGCCAAGAGACTAAGGATTTATTAGGGAGATGGCGCCATGCCCGGAGTCACAGGTAGCTCGTGCTCAAAGACTCGGCTCCTCAATGGCTTCCAGGGGATGGATTGTATAGAGAAATCATTAATCATGATGACTAATAGAGTTAGGGTCATGGTCTCTACTGATTGGTTGATGCAAGGGCAGAGGGTAATTGATCATTGCATTTTGTCCTGATGTCAGTCATGGAGTTGTTCTGTCCAATTTCATAAAGATTTGTTTTGTGAGATCATGCCTCTTTCCTAGGTCCAGAGCTAAAACACAGCTGAGGCCAAGATAGTATGTTTAGTTTGATTGAAAACTCTGTCTCAATAGCCAATAGACCCAGGACCTTGTTTCTAAGACTACTAGATGCTAACCAGAACCTCATTATCCTGAGGGCTCAATGATGATGCAAGGGAGAAGGAGATGGATGAGTCAGGGTGCTGGGTGAGGCCAGTGTGAGTCAAAGAAAAATAAATAAATAAAAGTTCAGATTAAAGAAAATATATTTTTTCACGGTTACAATATTGTCAGTCACAGTGTAAATGCCTTATCTTATTATTTAATCATCATAGCAAATGATAAGAAAGGTAGTAGTAGTATATTCATTTTTTTAGACTATTTTATTTATTTTTAGAGAGAGAGAAACATCCATTTGTTTTTTCCACCTATTCACGCATTCATTAGTTGACTCTTGTATGTGCTCTAACCAGGTATCAACCCACACCTTGGTGCATCAAGACGACACTAACCAACTGAGCTATTAAGCCAGGGCAGTATATTCACTTTTCAGGGAAGCTGGTCAACCTGCCAAAGCTAGCTAGGGGCAGAGCTGGCCTTGAAGGTCGTCAGACTATAATACCCTTGCTCTCCCCTACAATATTTCAAACAAATGGAGTAGCCAAATGAATATATATATATATATATATATATATATATATTTTTTTTTTTTTTTTTAACCAACTTTAGGGATCCCAGTTGAAGAGTAGGTGAAACCTGAAGGAGGTCAGGCTGTGAGGTCCCCTGTGCTTGCCTGTATATGAATCCCATTCAGCACATAGTAGGACAGTTCCCCCTCCCTCAAAAACCTACAAATGCTTCATGAGTCACATAGACTTTGCTGATGATTTTCTGAAAAGAAAGGAGAGAGGGTTAGATGGCACCTCAGACAACAGAAGCCTTCAAAACTCCCTTTAAACATGCTTTTTTTCTCTTTCCCAGAAAAACATTTTCTCTCCATTTTCCCACCCTCCAGCCCCAGCCCTGAGCCCCAGTTTCCTAGCCTGCCTGCTTCTTAATATCCTCTCATCTAAATAAAATCCTGCTGACTGGAGGAGGAATATCAGTAGGAATAAAATAATAATAGTAAAGCTAAAACCAACCAGGAGAATGAAGAAAGCCTTCAACGATCCTTCCAAAAGAGAGTGAGATGTAATAGTTTTAAGCATGCATTTTGTGCCAGATATTCTTGGCCCCGGGAGATACAACCACGAACAAGACAGCCTGGAACTTACATTGTAGAGAGAGGGCATGGACATTAAATAAGCAAACAAATACATAAACCAAATCATTGCAGGTCAGGCCAAGTGCTATGACCAGAACTGGTGGGAGAGAGCTACTTTATGTTTTGTGGTCAGCAAAGTTTTCTCAAAGGACAGTGAATTTTGACATGCATCCTAACTGGAAGAGAATAGTCATGCAAAGAAATGCATTCTAGACGGAGAAATTAGGAAATTCAAAAGTCATAAATCAGTCCCAACAGGGAGGCTGGGGTGAAGTGTGTGAGCATGAGAGAGAAATGAAGATAGAGAAGTAATCAGGAAAGACCTCACGGTTCAGAGTTAGAAGTCTGAATTTTATTCTTTACAGAATGGAAAGTCTATAGAAATCGAGCAGGAGTGATTAACATTTTCTAAAGGGTACTCTGACTATTGTTTGGAGAATAACTGAAGGGCCTATAGAAGCTTCCTACACTCTCAACCCAAGACTGTTTGGCATTGGCCTTCATTTTGTTCTTAGCATTCAGTTGGTTTATTAGATCAAGTGTCTGTTGAGGAGCTTAGATTAGAGTGATCAGTTTCTAGGGGGAAGTAAGGTAACCAAACCTGCTGTGAGGAGGTAAGAAGGCAGGAAAGATGACTCTCAGATTTTGAGATGGGTCAGTAGTGGAGATGGATTCATTGGTGTGTGGGAAGGGGAATAAGAGAAGAGAAATCTAGAGTTGAGACCAAACTTTTATTTCATTTAGTTATTTATTTTAAAATATAGAATGCTTCATGAATTTGTGTGTCATCGTTGCTCAGGGGCCATGCTAATCTTCTCTGTATCTTTCTAGTTCTAGTCTATATTTTGCCAAAGAGAGCGCAAGACCAAATCTTCAATGCCCTAATTTAGCCTAAGTAATTTTCACTTTATTTGCTCAACAGTGAAGAAGCCAGCAAAGGATATTTACTTGTTCACTTTGCTTGTAACAAACATTTAAGTATAATTAACATGAAGGGCTGGTTTCATGGGAATCCCCCTCACTCAGAAGGGCCCATGCTTAGTTTATTGCTCTGAAATTTTTAATAATTTTATTTTTGAACCTATATTTTTTAAAGTCCAGTGGAACCATGGAGCATGTGTGTAAACAGCGGTGATTTCCAAAACGTGTGTTGTCTGATATTTCTTGCCACCCCATTTGCACATAGTGTTCATGTTGTCCCAAGAGCATTTACTTCTACTGGGCCCACTATGAACAGGAGTTCAGGGAGGCACCAAACTAGTACAAAAAACGTGCATATGAAAGCCAATGGTTTTCTAAAAGTGTTGGTAGAATGCATGCATATAAAAAACAAAATAGCCCTGGCTGGTTTGGCTCAGCAGTTAGAGCGTTGGCCTGTGGTCCAGAGAGACCTCGGTTTGTTTCCCGCTAAGGACATGTACCTGGGTTGCAGTTTGTCCCGGCCCTGGTTGGGTCATGCAGGTGGCAGCCACTTGATGTGTCCCTTTTACGTCGATGTTTCTCTCTCTCTCTCTCTTCCTCTCTCTCCCTCCCTCTCTATCTGAATAAAAAAATGGAAAAATGTCCTCAGGTGAAGATAAAAAATAATAATAAAATTTATTTATTATTCTACTATTAATGGACACTGAAATAGCTTTTCAGTTTGGGACTATCATGAATAGTGCTACTATGATTATTCTTGTACATATCTTTTACTGCACATATCTGTTGAGTGTTTATTATATACATGTGAAATTGCTAGGTCAGAGGGTATGTTTATACTCATCTCTAGCTGCCAGGTTTTTAAAGCAATTATATAAATTCTGCTTTTCTACTAGGGATTATAAAAGTTCTATGTGTTTCATATCCTTTCCAGCATTGGTATTATTTGCATTTTAATGTTAGCTATCATGGTGGGTATATAGTGGTACTTCTGTGAGATCTGAGTTTGCAGTTCCTTAGTCTCTAATAAGATTTAATACCTCTTCATGATTTATTGGTCATTTGTAGATTCTCTTTTATTAAGTACCTGTTAAAGCCTTTTGCCCATTTTTTTACTAGGTTACTTATTTTTTTCTTATTATTTTGTAGGATTTTGTGATATATTTTATACTACTTCTTCATCGGATAAATGTATTGCAGACATCCTTTTCTACTCTGTGCTATGCATTTATGGTTTTCGTGAGGTTTTTTTTATTTTAATGCAATCTGATTTATTAGCACTTTCCATTTTAGTTAATAATGTTGTGTGTGTGTTCCTTTGGTTGTTTTATCTTTCACATCTAGCCTCATGTCCCATGTAGAATTAACTTTTTACATATCTGTAAAGGAGTCGACATTTCATTTTTTCCAATATGAATATCCAACTAACCCAGCACCATTTATTGAAAAGACCATCCTTCTCCACTGCACTGCAGCCTTACCTTTCTCTTTAATCAGAGGACTATATACAGGGTTGGGCAAAAGTAGGTTTACAGTTATTCATGTGGAAAATAATACAATAATCAATTAATAAATAAGAATAAAGTCTGTGTTGCCCATACTCACAACTGTAAATCTACTTTTGCCCCATCCTGTATGTGTGTGTCTATTCTGAAATCTCTGCTATGTTCACACTTATCTTGTGTTGTCATGGATATCTTAACATGGGTGAAGGGATAGATTACTAAGAACCAAAGAAAGTGAGAAGACCAATATAAATGAATGATGATAAGGGTCTACTATTTGATATTAGAAGTAAAAATAAGTGGACAGATCTAAGGCTGTAACAAAAGTAGAGTCAAGAACTCAAGCCTGATTGGATGTAGGGAGAAAGGCAAGAGGGAAGTCAAAGATAACTGAAGATTTTAGGCCAAATAACTGACAGATTGGTGAGACCATCAGGAGCTGGTTTCGAGAATGAGGGAGGGGAAAATGAGTTTAAAAAACAATAATTGAAACCTAAAGGATTTAAAGAACCATAGCTGCAAGTGTCCAGCAGGCAGCTGGAAATGGTGGACGGGAACTTGTAGAGATCAGGGCTAGAGACAGAGAATTGGGATTCTGTGTATATTGATATGTCCTAGATTAGACAGATGTGCTTTCTAAGGGAGAATGCATGAAGAGAGGATAGGGGGAGGAAGGAAAGTGGAAGGCTGAGATAGGAAGAGACCAGAAGTAGAAAGAGATAGAGGAAGGAGAGAAAGAGGAAGAAGGAAAAAGTCAAGGAGAGCGAATGAAAAAATAGATTTTAAAGTTTGGTCAATGGAGAAGGCTAGCCATATCTTTTTTCTAATATTAAATCAATGCATTGCTCAAGCATTCCACTAGAAATTATCTTGTGTCAGAGCCTTTGAGACTATACCACCCTTCCTGATCTGCTGTTCTGTGCCTACTGCTGTCTCCTTCCCAGCAGAAGACCCATGGGCTAATGGGGATTATACTGGGGCCCCCGGAATTTCTTGTCCCTGTATGAACATTTGAAGTGACAGTGGGTGGGCGGGTAATGATTCTTTACATTATTAGAGTGCTCTCCTGAAGAGAAATAAATGCATAAACTGATCGACTTGGGAATCAGGGAAAAGTGTATTTCATGTTGCAACAAAATCATAAAGATAATGCCCTGTTTTCCAATTGCGTTAAAAAAAAAACAAACTTTTTTTGATGTTTTTTTTTTTTCTTTTTTTGTTAATCCTCACCCAAGGATAGTTTTTCATTGATTTTTAGATAGAGTTAAAGGGAGAGAGAGAAACATCAATGTGAGAGAGATACATCAATTGGCTGCCTCCCACAAAACCCCACTCGGGCCAGGAATTGAACCTGAAACCCTACGGTCCATGGGCCAATGCTCTAATCCCTGAGCCAAACTGATCAGGTCTGCATTCAAGAATTTTTAATACACTGCATCTTCTGTTACATTTAGTAAAATTTTGGAATGTTGATGATTAGCACATAAAAACATTAAATATTCCTGATGGCCTGTAGACAAGATTAATTTACACCCTGGAAACCAGATGAGGTGTTAACTATATTCAGGTTGCACTTCAGTGGCTTGAAGGGTAATTATTTTACATTTCCAGAGCTAAAAAGAGATTTCCAAAAATAGAGTAGACTATCAAAGAAACAGTAAAACACTTGAATTGTTTTCTTAAAATTCCCTTCCATTCTGTCATTTTACTGACACTAATCAAAGTATTTGAAGTCCCATAGATAATAATGAGAGGCAATGTTTTGCAGAATGTTCTACCATCACTGATTAGTTTTGCACCAACCATTTTTTGCTTAAACAAAATTTAGAGAAATTAGAAAATAAAATATATCTATATATTTTATCAACTTGATAGACCCTCAGTATAAATTTGAAGATCTGAACCACATTCAGTAGTCACATCCATTCCTCTTTTAACTGTCTGACTCTTTGGAGAAAATGAGCTAAAAGTGAAAAGTGGAAGACTCTCCTTAAATAGTTTATACTAAAAAAGATACTCCTTATTTGCGTACTTGGACATTGAGGGACAGATTTAAGCTGACAAAGAAGTCCCAGAGCAGCATTTTTCTACTGTCTCCACTTCATTAAGAATATGAAGGTCTCGGCCAGGTAGCTCAGTTGGTTAGATCATTGTCCCAATATACCACGTTGCAGGTTCGATCTCTGGTCAGGACACATAAAAGAATCAATCAAGGAATGAATAAATAAATGGAACAATAAATTGATGTCTCTCTCTCTCTTCCTTCCTCTTTCTCTCTAAAATCAATAAATAAAATTTAAAAAGAATATTAATAAGTGAACACATACGTTAACTTGCAATAACACCTCACACATCCACTTGTCCAGAGGCAGTTTCATGACTGGTAACAAGAGCGATGGTCTCGTGACAGTTTTTATACCATAAAAACTCAACAGCCGAAACATGTCTAATTTTCAGTGCCAAAAAAACAAACAAATTGGAGTATGGCAATCAAAATTGTAACACAAAAACAAGACAAAATAATTTGGCTAACTGAACAAGCCCAGAATTATTTTTGCACTAAAGTTTCCATAATTCCTCTGGTCATAAGAAAGATTTTCACTCCTGAGACCTTAAATGTCATGTGTTAGCATTTTTGCACTCTTGAAATAATAAAGTGAGAAAGATCAAATACACACAAGTTTTACTTGTCTTTCACAAACAGTAACTGGAAAATGTTTGTGTGTGAAGGGAGGGTGGTATATGACATGTTCTTAATCCATTTTTCTGCATTTAGTTATCTTGATTAGTAAAAGTCAAATATATTCAAGTAGATATTTCAGACATCAGAAGTTAATTTGTAAAAGAAATAAGAATTAACTTTTAACAAAGACTTTAGAATACTAAGAGAAATGTTAGGAAAGTATCTCAAAATGTTGATTTTCCAACCAGAAAATGAATCTTAAAAAAAAAATCACAGCCCAATTAGCATCACTCAAGACTTTATAAAGTCTTCCTTTTATGTTTTGAGGAATGTAACAGCTTGAGTTAGATGAAAATTAAAATTCAGATGTTGAATTCACTGTGTGCTTGAACGTTTTGTAAATTCACTGAGCTGAGGCCCACATTTGTTTACTTGAGAACTTTTCAATAGAGGCCTTAAAATGTACTGCAGCTCCAAATAGATGCTCAAATCACAAATGCTAAAGCTATGCACATCTTTTTGTGACATGGTACACTGACATTGACGCCACACTTTTTACATAAAATGCCAAGGTGGTACAAAGAAATGTCGCCAATTTTCTTGGCTTGGGAGACACAGTTGAAACTATGTCTGTTGTGTTTCTGGGTAGTAATTTCTTAAGGAAATACCAAAGCAACTTCTAGTCAAAGATAGGAAAGGTCACCTCAGGGGCTGCAGTGAAAAGTCTTCCACTTTACTCATCACTTTGAC